ATTATTATAAAAAAAAAGTTGATAACATGAACATTGATACTTTTTTTTTATAGGAAAAATATTAATATACGTTAAGATATACGATAAAAATATAAATATTTTTAAAATGGAAAGTATATCAATTATATCTACAAAGTGCGTTCCCTATATAAGTTATATATTTTATGAATAATTACTTTTAATATATTTAATTTTTTTAAATTTCATTTAATTATAGAAAATGAATAAATCATAACAGTACAAAGAAAATATAATGATGATAAACACGAATTTAGACGATAAATGTAATTTAGACAAAGGAAAAAAAGAAATGTGGTACTTACGATACTGTGAAGAGAAAAAACTAGTGTAAAACAATCAACCTTGACATCGAGCTAAATTGTGGTACCTATAATAAAGTACTAGAATGTGTCCCTCTCTCCGTTGCGGGATTTTTTTTATATATTTATTAATATTTTTCTTAATATATGTAAATTAAATAATCAAAATATATTTTATAAATCAATATATTTGTAATAATTTATTAGATATTAATTTAATTTTACTTTTTAATAATTATTTTTATTCATTTTATGATTACAACTAAATATTCCACAATTACAAACTTAATCTATCACATTATTTTTTCTTTCTTTAAAAATTAAAATATGTATACATTTAAATATTTGTAATGTGGTATTGGCCAATTGATCAACAAAAGAAGAGTATATAGAAAATAAAAAAAAAATTATAAATATTTGCAACATTTGATATTTACATTAGGGATATATTGAGTATATAGATAGATAAATTTGTCAGTACTCCATGTTGACGATGTATTTAAATATTTTTATATATTTAATTACGAATCCAATAATTATTTGTATCTTAAGAATTTATTTAATAAATTCTCATTTTTTAAGTCTCATTTTTGAGTTTTCCAATAATTAATTTATTGTATATTTTTAATCTAATTTTATAAATTTTAAATTTCATAAATAATTAAACAAATTATCATAATATAATAGAAAAAATAATTAAAGAACACAAAAATTCTATAATAGATATAGCTTAATGGAAAATTTTCAACTCCTCTTATTGGACTAGGCCCTTTTTCTTATCCACTAAGTTTCTCTTTTAATTTTATTTTTCATTTTAATTTCCCTCCCTCCAACTCCCCATTGCAAAAAAAAAAAAAAAAAAAAAAAAAAAACCATAGCTTATTAATTAGTGAATGGAAAAAATTTTAAATCTAAAAAATTTCATTTGACAGAGTTTGCTAGGGTTTTTTTTTTTTTTTTAAAGTGGACAAAATAAAGTTATAGTTCATTTAACTTTCTTCAAACTCAATAAATTAATACAATCAATTATTGATCCAGCCCATCAATTTTGATACAGTCCATAAAAATAGATGTGTGGATCATTAATGCTTAATGTGATCTTTTTAATATATAATTATATGGATAGATTATATAGATGTTGTTGTTATATTTTGAGTGATGATAAAATTTTTTAATAGTAATTTTGTTAAAAATATCATAAAATATACATATATCTTAAAGTGAGTAGAAAAAATTAATGTATAACAGTCAACTTTAGGAATAATAATAATAATAATAATAATAATAATAATAATAGGATCAATATTCATTTAGTTTGTTTCTAAAATGTTGAATTCTAAGTAATAATAATAATAATAATAATAATAATAATAATATGGTTCATTCCTGTATTTGTTTAAAAAAAAATAGCGAATGAAATATTATTACTTTGGCAAAAAAAGAAAATTGAATGAAAATATTACTAAATATGTAAGAATAATTTGTAAACGAAACCCATACAGCCAACCCACCTACGAGGCTACAAATTTTCATTATTTCTTTTTTCTTCCACACAGCAAAAGGAGGAAACATGCCATATGCAGGCACGGGCGGAGCTATGTGGGGTTCGTGAGGGCTCAAGCCCCTTAGTTACAGGAATAACCATGAAATGTATATTCGCTGTTATTAAAGAATTCATATTTTAATTTGTTTAATTTTTACAATATTTAAATTTATTTAATTATTTGTTTAAATTTAAGATCATTATATGAATTTGTATTTAATTAAATAAACACTATCTGTTAAATATACAAATCTAATAAAATATTTGTGTACTTAAATTTTTTATCAAAAAAATAAAAAAATAAGACTCAAATTTAAAATTCAAATTTACTTTTAATTAATAATAAATAAAAATTATTTGTTAAGGTTTGAAACCTTCAACTAACATAAAATTTCATATATTTTGCATAACAGATTTAAATATTTAATATTATTTATTAAAAATTTAAACGGATTCGAATGTTAGATAATTAATAGGTACTATGAAAAATTTATCTGAATTTGTTTGATAATAAATTTATTATTCAAATCTATTAATTATTTGTTTATAAGTATTTTAATCCGATATAATGGGATTGATCCAGTCTATTTGTTACGAACAACATTGGTTCTATTAGTTGTCGTTATGTAGAGTATTTTCATTAATAAATATTTTAAAGACTTGTTTGCATAATCTAATAGAAGATTAATAGTTGAAAGATTGTTTAATTGTATACATTAAAAAAGATAAATTCAAAAATATTGATAATGAAAAAATTGTATAACATTTTCAAAATATCAAATCGTGTCAAGCAGAACAGTAAAATTTTTAACAAATATGACTAGATATGAAAGTTTTTGTATTTTTAATATCATTATGTTGTTTGTTGTTGTTGTTATTATTATTATTATTATTATTATTATTATTATTATTATTATTATTGAGTTAAGTGTCTATTAAATAAATTTTTTTATTCCGTCACTGTATGTAGGGACAAGAAAAATTTTGAAAAAATAAAAAATTGATTTGAAATTATAGTATTCTAGTTAGATTGATTTTTTTTATTTGGTTCAATTTAAGTTTAGGTATTAAATATTTTTATTAGATTTAGACTGAATTTTAAATCGTTAAAAAAATAAAAAATATCAAAACATAATTATATATTTTATTAGTTTTAATATATTTTTATATTTTTATATTTTTAAAAATAAAAATAATTATTTTATATCTAAATCTATTAAAATATATTGAAAAATATATTAAAATAATATAAAAAATAAAATTTAAAAATCAATAAATCAAACTAAACAAAACAAATAGAATTAAAATTAAATTGACTTCAAGTGGAGGTCAATTAAAAATTAAAAAATTTATAATATATGTAACTAAACCAAACCATTATTGCCTTTAAACTGCATACACATATAGAGATGGTAATAGATGAAGTTTGATTAGAATTAAATCGAATCATTTTAAATTGAAAGTAATTCAAAATGTTTTACATTTGAATTATTTTAAATTTAAATCATGTAAGATTCAAGTTATATTGATTTGGATTACAAGTTCTAGTTTGAGTATAAATTATTGAATTTAAAATTAAATAATTTAATTTTAATTTATTTTGAATGATTAAATTTGAATTGTTTTAAAGGCAATTGATTCTAATGGAGTTATTTTTTCGAGTAAATTTTAAAATTATACCATGTGGTTAAGGCCGAAATAAATGTGCTTCGTGAGGTTCAAACGTAATACTTAACTATCTTATAATTTTTTTTTTTTTACAAAAAATTATTATTTTTTTCATTTTTTTTATCTTTTTATTTTTTCATCTAAATTTATACTTTCTCTCTTAAAATTCATTCTCACTCTCTAAAGCCAAATCAATTCTATCTCTAAATCCAAACCAATTTTCAAACAGTAATTTCCAAATCATAAGAAAACCCTTACACCATCGAAAACTCTTTACATTCCCATCTCTTTGAATTTTCGAACTTTAAACAAAAAATTAACAACTTAGAAATTGGTACCGATCTACTGCTCGCCTTATACTGTTCACCCATTATGCGCTATTCAGTAATTTTTGAAAACCCCACGTAAATCCTTTTCTTCTTCCTTTAAAATTTCTTAAGTTTCTAGTACAAATCTAGATAAAGCACTAAATAAAAATTGCTATCACTTTCTAAACTTCTTAACACCTTTAAATTCTCAAGAACAACACCAAATCAGCATAACGAAAAAACTTAGAAATTGGTAACAACCATTACTTTCGTCACTGTTTGTTACCTTGCCGAGACCATCGAGGATTTTTTATTCTACTCCTTTACACCAACAATGCTTCTTTCTTATGTTTATAAGAATAAAACCCAAGAGACTGAATCTTCAATCTTGTAACTTTATTTAATTTGTTGTTGCAATTTTCTATTTTCTTCTCTAGTAATTTTTGGTTTATGTGATTGAAAATATAATTGTTGATATTTCTCTAAAACTGTCTGTTGAAATTCTAATTTTGTTTTAAAGTTCTTTTGTTAAGGTTTTGTTGATGAAGTTTTTACTACTTATGTTGTGGAATTTGGCTTTCTAGATTAATATGATTTTTGGTAACTTTTTATTTGTTAGCAGTAAAAAAGATAGTTCTTGAAAATTTGAAGATTGTTGTTTATGGATTGGTATGTATTTAAATAAAGAATTATTTTAGTTTTAGAGAGAAAATGAATTTTTAAAAAGAAAAAGTATGAATTCAAATAAAAAAATAAAAAAATAATTTTGAATAAAAAATTAATTATAAAATAATTAAGTATCATATTTTAAATTTTAAAAATATTTTTATTTCAATTTTAATAATAAGATATATTTTTAAAATTTATTTTATTTTTTAAAATCAAATAAATCAAATTCAAAATTTAGCACGCTTGATGAATCAAATTGGACTGCTGTATTTATACATACTAAAGTAACAGTACTCTATAAATGATCAGAGAATCTGTTGAAGCTCTGCTTTTGTTTTTTTGTTTTTCTTTCCTTTTCCCTTGCTTTTCTTTCCTCTCTTTTCCTTTTCTTGTATGATATGCTTATGCTGTTGGGTCATTTCCTCTCTCTTCGTTCACACATCCACAACATCCACGCTGTACACTTTTTCCCTCGCAGGTACCCCCCAATTCTTTCTCTTTCTCTCTCTCTCTCTCAAAACCAAAAAGACTTTTGTTATATCGATTCGTACACAAAATCCTCTTAAAAAACTCCCTGCTTTTATTTCCTTGTCTGCCATCAACTCCCTTAAATACAACTCCTCCACTTCCCTCCTTTCTCTCACTCCCTTCTCTCTATTCTCTCTCTCTTCAGCCGGGTAGTAATTTTCCGGCGACATTATCAGCCGTGTTCTTCACTTTTATTTTCTAGTTTTATTATCCATCGACATGAATATCGTAATGGGCTGAATTCTTTTGGGTTCTTTTCTCTCTTCTGGTTAATCATTTTCCAGCCCTACTTTTTTCCACCTTTCCTCAGCAAGACAACCGAACGAAAAACAGATACTACTCTGAAAAAAATCATACAAAGTGCATTCCTTTGTTGTTCTCGTGTGAAATCCTATTTGGGTTTTACTTCTTACCCTATCTTTCATCTGGGTTTCCCTTGAAATACACAATGATCACTGCCACAGACCTCTATCATGTACTTACTGCCGTGGTGCCACTTTATGTGGCCATGATCTTAGCCTATGGCTCTGTGAAATGGTGGAAAATCTTCAGCCCTGACCAGTGCTCTGGCATCAATCGGTTTGTTGCTCTGTTTGCAGTGCCTCTCCTTTCTTTCCATTTCATATCCACCAACAATCCATATGCTATGAACTTGAGGTTCATAGCGGCAGATACGCTCCAAAAGGTCATAGTCTTGGTAGTGTTAGCTATCTGGTCAAGAACCAGCTCAAGAGGTTCCCTGGAATGGTCTATAACCTTGTTTTCGCTCTCAACTCTTCCTAACACTCTTGTCATGGGCATTCCTTTGTTGAAGGGAATGTATGGAGAATTTTCAGGGAGCTTGATGGTCCAAATAGTCGTGCTTCAATGCATAATTTGGTACACATTGATGCTCTTTCTCTTTGAATACAGAGGAGCAAGACTTCTGATAGCAGAGCAATTCCCAGATACTGCTGGCTCTATCATTTCCTTTAAAGTGGATTCTGATATCATTTCTCTGGACGGAAAAGAGCCATTGCAAACTGATGCCGAGGTAGGGGAAGACGGGAAACTCCACGTTACTGTTAGAAAATCTACTAGTTCTCGGTCGGAAATTTTTTCTCGCCGGTCGCATGGTCCAAACTCAGGTGTTTCTTTAACCCCAAGACCATCAAATTTGACAAATGCAGAAATTTACTCCCTCCAATCATCCAGGAATCCAACGCCAAGAGGGTCCAGCTTCAACCACACTGATTTCTACTCAATGGTGAATGGGAAAAACATAAGCAACGTGAGTCCAAGACAATCCAACTTCGGAAACTTGGGTTTTGATGAAGAGAATGGACTTGGGGTATTTGGTAATACAGGGAGAGCCAATGGCAGTTCTTATCCTGCTCCAACTAGTGCAGGAATCTTCTCTCCTGTGACTGGACCAGGTGCCAAAAAGAAGGTAAATGGAACTGATGGTGGAAAGGATTTGCATATGTTTGTTTGGAGTTCAAGCGCTTCTCCTGTGTCAGAAGGTGGGATTCATGTTTTCAGGGGCGGAGAGTACGGGAATGATCTTGGTGGCGTAGCTCACCAAAAAGGTACAAACACTATTAGTTGAGAGTTCGGTGTCTTTAGTGGTTTACCGCATGTTCTGATTGCGTTTTTGTATTGAGCGAGCATCAAGATTTGGCAGTTTCCAACACTAAACTTTAAGGTTATTTGTTAAATCTTATATGTAGTTTTGGTTGTTTCTTGGATGTTTTGAATGTGGTTTCATAGTATTGGACGTGAATTAGTTGCAATTTTGTCTTATTGGAATGTTCTGTTTATTGGGGTAACTGTATTTGTCTTGTTGAATGAAGGTTTGGGATTGGAGATTGCTTTTTTCCGTTGTGGATGAAGTGGGGTTTGGTTGGTTGTTTGTTTCGTCTTTTCCTTTTCGCCTTTCTTGTTGATGGTCTTGTTCTTCTTTCTTTTGATCAACAGAGTGCTCTGTTTTCTTTTGTTCGTATTCGTCATCACTTGAATAATGCTTTCCTCTCATGTCATTTTCTTTTGTTCTATTAGCAACAATTAATTTATTTATATCCTTTATGTTCAGATTATGATGAGTATGGTAGAGACGAATTTAGCTTTGGTAATAAGCCAGTAACAAATGGGGTTGACCGTGAAGGTCCAGTGCTTTCCAAGCTTGGTTCAAGCTCCACGACTGAACTCCACCCTAAGGTTGGTGCTCACGCTGAAACAAGGCCAACTGCTATGCCTCCTGCTAGTGTTATGACCAGACTCATCCTGATCATGGTGTGGCGAAAACTAATCAGGAATCCTAACACTTATTCCAGTTTGATTGGCCTCACCTGGTCTCTTGTTTCGTTCAGGTGTGTAAAACTACATAGCCTGTTAATTGTACAATATTTTTCTAATCCAATCATACAAACTTTTAATGGCTTATTGCATTTGTGCAGGTGGGGTGTTCGGATGCCTGCTATAGTTGGTGGTTCAATAGCTATTCTTTCTAATGCAGGTCTTGGAATGGCTATGTTTAGCCTTGGTAAGTTGATTATCAACTCGTTTAGGATTCTGTGTATGCTAGATTTCCAGGCATTTTAGCTGGGAAAACAGCTGTTGTCAACTCTTTTCTTGGCTTAGAGTCTTCTCAACAAGCAAAATTATGGGTTATAGGTTTATTCATGGCACTTCAGCCACGAATTATTGCATGTGGAAACACAATTGCGACCTTTGCCATGGCAATTCGGTTCCTAACGGGTCCTGCGGTTATGGCTGCTGCCTCAATTGCTGTCGGGTTGAGAGGTGTTCTTCTGCGCATTGCTATTGTGCAGGTAATAGCAGTCTATTTTGGGTCTACTACCCTCTTAAGTAGATTTGATTCAAGGCGTGGATTGTTTGAATTTTCAGGCAGCTCTTCCACAAGGGATTGTCCCATTCGTCTTTGCTAAGGAATACAATGTTCATCCCGATATATTGAGCACTGGGTACGTTATTAGAAGCTTTTATCTAAATTCCAACTTCTAATATGCAGAATTCCTCCATGCGTGCATGTTGGGTTTCATGATCTATGTGCTAGTATTCCAACGTGAATATGGTGGTGTGATCCAAGTCCAAAGACGCTACACTTTTCATGTTTATTTCATGCTATTATGAATGCTTTTTTCTTTTTCTTTTTTGTATAATTGAATCAGTGTAATTGTTATAGTTTAAAATGTGATCATAGATGCGAAGCCCAAAATCATTTTTATTCCTTATTTGTTTCAGGGTCATATTTGGAATGCTGATTGCCCTTCCTATAACACTGGTTTACTACATCTTGCTGGGACTTTGAAGCAGAGCTCTCTGAGAAGCTGAGAGAGGAAAGAAGACTACTAGATACAATTAGTTACTACCCATTTTGAGTGGGAAATTTTTGGATTTCTCTAACCAGCTGGGGGGTAAATACAGTAATTTTCTAAACTGATTTGGGGTGATAGCAGGAGGAAACATGGACAGTAGAGGGGCGAGAAACTTTTTGTTTTGTTTATGTTTTATCACTCGGAGCCTCGTGCTTTTCGTTTTGTTCTTTTTTTTTTTTTTTTTCTCTTAAATGAAGAAAGTGAGTAATGTTTGTAGTTCAGTTAATGAAATATATCTCTGCATTTTCTTAAACCCTCTAAGGTCAAAAAAAGATATTCCTTTTGTCTTTGGTTTTTTGTTCCTTATTTTTAAATGTCTCAAAATTACATATTATTTTTTTATATTTATAATTTTTATTTTTTATATTTTAAAAATAATTTTTACAATTTTTTATTTGTTGATATTAAAAATTATGACATTTTAATTTTATAAGAAAAGTTTTAATTTTAATATTAAATATATTAAAATAAAAAATTTGTTTTTAAAAATTTCATAAAACTCAATACTTGACGTAGGAGGGAGAATTAATGCGATTCTAATCTCTATGCAAAGAAAGAAATAAATTCCCACACATCGACCGCAAAAGAAATGCTTTTTATCTTTTTTCAATGCTAGTATTGAAACACTAACTAGCAGACCAAAAAGCTACTTATAATAAAAATATGAGGCCTAAAGCGCCACCAGCTGTCACTGGAGACTGGATTTTGTCTATCAATTGGTAAACATTGAAAAGATGGGAGGTCTAAGGTTGATAGCTGTCTTTAGGCTGGGCTGGTAAGCTTAGGTACTTAGCTTGTGCTGGAGGAGCTAGATTTAAACTTATGTCGGCTTGTTGGAGACCCTCTGAAATTGACCCCTGCAAGTAGTCACGTTAATTTTTAAAATATTGTGCTGAGTTTTGTTTTATAAAAAGCGTTTTATTAGTCGAAAAATGTTACGAGCATTTATTTTGAATTTAAGTACGCAATTTATGCAAGAGTTATAATTTTTTTTTAGGATCATGACATCTATATAAAATATCGTGATTTATATTAATTTAAAAAATATTATTTATTTTGATTTGTGATTCATCAAATTTTATAGTTTTATTTTATAAAAAATATTTTATAAATTAAAAATAATATAAATATTTATATTTTAAATTAAACCTTAATATATAGTCTATATAAAATGTATAATTCTTTGGACCATGATACTAATGCCATGTTTGGGCAGTGCATATGTGTTTTCTAAGTTAAAAATTAAAATACTGTTAAAAAAAATGCTTTCTCCATTGAAGAAATATAAAAGTTTGCTCTGCAGTAACTGATAATAAATTACCAAAAATTACCCCTTTTTCTCCTTATTACAATTTTGCTGTGATTTGTGCCCACAACTATTTTCCTCACAACCCTTGAAAATTATACATTAGTTATTTTTCTCGAAATTAAATATTATAAATAACTTAAATTAGCCAAATTCTCGAGGAAGTAATTGAAAAAAAAGGGCTTGTCATTTTCTCGGGGAGGGTCCGAAAGGTGGGCCCCTTTGGGTCTAAAATTCTAACTTTCTCCATTGAAAAATGTTCACTTTTTTCTTCTTTTAATGATTTATACTCATTTGGCCCCCCTTAACCTTTGAAAGTTTGTGCTCTTGTCTAAAATTTCACTCTTTTTTGTATGCGTTGTTCCCTTGGTTTAGTGTTAAACTGTTGGTATAATATACTTAGTGCTACAAAGCTTCCTCTATATGTTACTTTTAGTCATTGAATTTATATAATATATATTTTAAAATCAAGGCACTGAATTTTTATTTTGATGTTACCAATTGAGTTTCAAAATTCGTTAGACTAATTAAGGATATCAAAATATTAGATATGATTCAAATGTCTAATTTAATTCATGAAAAATATAAAAACTAAAAATATGACGTAAAAAAAGGAAAAACTTGAAACATCGTTGCTATTGTTAAAAGTAGGAGAATTACAAATTGGTTCGATCTAATGTTGCAAATATAAAAAATTAAAAAAATGGAAAACATGTGTGCTAAACTTTAACTTTTTTCAAACAATATAGGACCCCGCTGTTTATTAAATGTGTGATTTAGTAGGGATCTATAATTTACTGTGTTTGATAGAGCAAAAAAAAAAAAAAAGAAAGAAAGAAAAGAGTATGGAATAAAAAATTTTTTTTTTTACTTTTTTTTTCAGTTTGGTAAGAGGAGAATAAAAATAAAAAAAAAAATGAATGAATTTGTTCTTTTCTCTTTCCTCAAATTTTATTCCTTCCAAATGTAAAAGAAAAAAAAAACTCTTTCAAACTTAAATTAACGATTTATTTATAATTTATCCTTTATAACTTTTTTCTTTTATTCTCATCCTTCATATAACAAACACAATAAAAAAAAAAATTTCTTCCTCTTCTTTATTTTTATCCCTTTTATTTTTTTCTCACCAATCATAATATTAGTGCAATCAAGTATCTCAACCATCTAAAGTGTTTGTTTTTTAAAATGTTTTTGTACTAATATTCAAAATGGTTCAATGAAGGAAAAATAGCAAACAAAAGAATTTCACGAGCTTCAATGTTGCATTAAAAATGTGTTTGATTCATGGAATCTAATATTTCATGAGGAAAAATGATTACTTTATAAATCATTTTACTTGATAGATTTCGGAGAATGTTAGCTTTATATATTTGAGGTCTTTATATTTGATTAGTGAAATGTAAAATTACTTAATAATATCTTTTATTATATTACCTTTAGTTATATTTTTAAATATATTTTTGTAATGAGGAAAGATTAGTTTATACCAATATAAAATTTTTTAGTTTTACATCTTTTTCTAAACATTAATTTCAATATATCCAAAAGATGAGCAAGAACAATAAAAAAATAGTTTAATTTTATCTTTTGAATCTATTAAAATCAATAATTAAAAAAAATATAAAATTAAAAAATTTTACATTAATATAAGTTGATTGATCCCTCTCTTTTTATAACAAACTACTTTTTTATCTTAAAACTAATCTCTGTTGATTTTGCTTAAGTCATTTGATCTTTGTCTCATAATATATCAACAGAAATTATATTCTTTAGATAAAAATGAAGTTTTTATTGAAACTATAAAATCTTAAAAAATAATTTTTTAATTATTTTCGTTAATAGAAACTAAGTTTTATAATTTTCCAATCGACCTAAGAAGTCAAATTATCGAAAATAAGATTTTGGAAGAGAAAGTTAGATCCTGCCAACCAAATACTCTTTAAAAAGAATATATTATATTATTGATCACTTAACTATTATCATGTTTTTAAAATGTTCATTAAATTATTAAAATTTTTAATTTAATTATTAAAATTTGAGTAAATAAATTTTTGGTCATCTAATCATTAGTTTTTAACTGTATGCTAACATGGTAATGACATTTAATTGTTAGGTGTCATGTGACATTGTCATATCAATAAATTTTATTTTTTTAAAATTTATAATATCACTTTAGTAATGTCATATGACATTTCAAATAATGTAGCAATCCTATATGGCATTTGACTGTTGATATGTTATTATTATGTTAGCATGTTGTTAGAGATTATCGGTTGGGTGACAAAAGAATTTGCTCAAATTATTGTGACTAAATTAAAAATTTAATAGTTAGATGATCATTTTAAAAATAGATCCATAATTGATTGACCAATAACGTATTTTACACTAAAAAAAATGCTATATGGACTTGTAATGTGTCATTTAACTATTTATAATATATTTAATTGAATTTAATGTCACGAATTAAATAATATCAATTTAATTAAAAAATTACTTAAAAGGTTAAAACAAAAAGTTATAACAAAATAAAGTTAAGAAGGCTCAGTTTGGTTTGAGAAAATTTTTTTGTTTTTATTTTTATTTTCTAGAAAAAGTTTTTAGTTTTTGTTTTTTAAAAAACGTATTTGATAAACAAAAATAAAAATTATATTTTAAAATGCAAAAATAAAGAAATAAATAAAATATTCAATAATATTACTATTAATGCTATTTAATTATAAATATAATATATATTTATTAATTAATAACATTAAAAAATATTTAAATATAATAACTTGCAAAATGTAAAGAAAAAGTAACGTACATTCCTTATTTTCACAATTAAAAACGTCTTTTTTTTTTCATTTTCACATTTTAACCTATTTTCATATTTATTTTCTAAAAACTTATTTTCATTTTTAAGTATCATGTTTTCTCTAATATTTTTCATTTTCTTAAAAAATAAAAATAAAAAATGATTCTATTTTCTGAAATCAAATACTATCTTATATTTTCAATTTTTAAGATGAAATAAACCTTTTTCACATGCGGTAAAAAAACTATCCACTCCTCGAGAAACTTCCTTTTCTTTAATTCTTTCAAAGCACAATTTGTTTTCAAATTCTATATATATTATATATATATATATATATATATACATACACAATCACCTATTTAGTGGATGTGTCAAAATTATAGTTTACTAATTAATCTAATAAAGTATATTATAAATAAAGGCTAATAAAAGAGTTTATATCTCGACGAGCGGGTCCAGCTCCAAAGCCGAGATTTTTGAGGGAGGATGGTGTTCAGACTTGCTGTGGCCGTGGGCAAAACGGTTCTGGCCATGTGTAAATTTGTTTTCTTTTTAAGAAATAAATAATTAGTTCACAAAAAAAAAATGTGCATGTAACTATCATTCAAGCTACTACTACATTTCTTGTTTTCACAATTGAAAACATCTTCTTTTTTTTTTTTTTTTTTTCACATTTTAACCTATTTTCATTTTTGTTTTTTAAAAACTTATTTCATTTTTAATTATCAAACATGTTTTCTCTAATATTTTTCGTTTTCTTAAAAAATAAAAATAAGAAATGATTCTAATCAAATACTATCTTATATTTTCAATTTTTTAGATGAAATAAACCTTTTTCGAATGCAGTAAAAAACCTATCCACTCCTCGAGAAACTTCTTTTTCTTTAATTCTTTCAAAGCACAATTTGTTTTCAAATTCATATATATATATATATATACACATATTCACCTATTTAGTGGATGTGTCAAAATATAGTTTACTAATTAATCTAATAAAGTATATTATAAATAAAGGCTAATAAAATAGTTTATATCTCGACGAGCGGGTCCAGCTCCAAAGCCGAGATTTTTGAGGGAGAATGGTGTTCAGACTTGCTGTGGCCGTGGGCAAAACGGTTCTGGCCATGTGTAAATTTG